TAAATAAATAAATAAATAAATAAAATAATACAATAACAAATGTTACTGCAAAGCTGGAAAAACACTCAGATATAAATAGGCAATAATAATTCTTGTAGCAAAGGAAAAGTATTATAAAATCAAATAATTGGCATGAAAGCCCATACCACTTATGATCAAAAGCCTGTTAGCATTATCAAGGGTTTCCAAAATTACAATTGTAACCTGAATTCAGGAATAGAACGTTACCTTTGTTCTTAATTCTGTGAAAAGAACAGACTGAAATGCTAAATCTTGCTGGTTAAATAGAAATAATTTTGTCTACTTTCGGATATAATGTGGATTCTAACTTCTGTTGATCAATTTGGCAACTGTATGTATGTATGTATGTATGCATGCATGCATGCATGCATGCATATATATGTGTGTGTGTGTATTTTTTTTTTTTTAGATTTTTTATCCCGCCTTTCTTATTGTTATAAATAACTCAAGGCAGCAAACATACCTAATATTCCTTCCTCCTCCTCTTTTCCCCACAACAACCCTGTGAGGTGAGTTGGGCCTAAAGAGGGACTAGACATGCCTAAGGCAGGACTAGAACTCACTGTCTCCTGATATATATAGCCAGTTTGGTCTAGCACAGGGTTTCTCAACCTTGGCTACTTGAAGATGAGTGGACTTCAGTTCCTAAAATTCCCCAGCCAACCATACAGGCTGGGGAGTTCTGGGAGTTGAAGTCCATGAATCTTCAAATGGCCAAGGTTGAAAAATGCTGGCCTAGTGGTTAAGACACCAGCCTAGAAAGCAGGAGACTTTGAGCTTTAGTCCCACCTTAGGCATGAAAGTGGCTGGGTGACTTTGGGCCAGTCACTCTCTCTCAGCCCAACTCAACTCACAGAGGAATTGTATATATTCATATACAGTATATAGGCTAAACCTCTTTTTAAAAGGCTGGGGAAAAAAGATATCTTAAATGATATTCTACAAACTAAATCCAAAATCTGTATGAGTATGAAATGGAATTCATGTCTTTAGGAAAAATAAATGAGCTTAAAAGAAACTTCAGTCTACAAAATATGCTTGATGAATTACTGGAAGCAACAAGAACATGAATGTACAAATTTTATACCTGATAAATGTTTTCTTCTGTTTCAGGCTCACGAATTGGCTCATGTCCAGCCTCAAACACAATGTACTATTACATCAGCAGCAAAAGAAGAAAGGTCAGAGGTGAAACAGAAAGGAGAAAAAGGCAGTTTTGAACTTTAGAAGAAATAACTACCAGCAATAGAGGAACAGCAGTATAAGCTGGCAAAAGAGCAACTTACTTTTTTCTAAAAAGCAAAAATGTGACTTTCTTTTATGGAAGAGAAATAAAAGAGATGTAAAACTTCACTAATTGTCATTGGACAAATTTCCTGTTGTTTCCTCAACAGAGATATGAGCACAGTTCAACCTTGTTTTCAAAGAAGCCTATATATGCCTTATAGTACTTTTAATCATAGTTAAGAAAAACAGGGAGAATGGACTTCAGCAGTGAGTTTATTTTAAGTGCCTGGTTTCTATACTGATTCTGAAGATGTTCCATGGGATCAACATCACAGATAATTGTTTCAACTCATTCTAATTATCATCATCATCTCCTTATTCTTTCCATTTTCTTGGAAAGACAATTTTCCTATACCATATTTTCAAAAACATTTCTTCCTTCTAACATGTTTCTTTAGTTCTTTTGTTCTGAAAATATTGCTGAAGGCCTGAATTTTGTTTTCATAAAAACATGCAACATTAAAGATTTGTTCTTCAGTGTTGCCACAGATCTTTCAACTGTATTAAAAAAATGGTATCCTTTGTTTTAGTTAGCACCATTGTTTCTTTTCTTCCTATGTTCATAGTTTTCTATACAGTGTGTACTGGCAATCACTATGGTTAATGCTACCTAGAAAACACTATTCAGTGTTTGCTAATCAGCTTCAACTCCTAGTTTCCAAAGCTGAATCCATTCATGCCATAGCATGTATCATGTTATGCAATCAGTAAAACTAGAAAGAAAAGGGAATAAGTATAAAAATATTGGATTATGGGATGAGAGTAGCATTCAAGCAATGGCCTACTTCCTAATGTTTAATTATGATTAAAAGATTGCCAGTGTTACATCCTGGTGTGTCTCAATATTTAACCTATTTTAAACATTTGTGATTAGGATCCAAGCTACATGGATTATATTTGGTTCCCATCTTAATTAAGACGGGATATGGATTTATATACCTTTCGTTTTACATTGACTCCACATACAAAAGCTAAGCCAGAATTTTCAACCGTAGCTGATTAAATGACCCATATGCATGGTATTCATTGAATGCAAAGCTATAATGGAAGAGTTTACACATCATGCTAAATCAAACACACTTCCCAAACCAACATTATAACTCAGCATTGCAAACCAGGTTACTGATTTCTAGGGCCTAAATGCAACTAGCAAATTCTTAATTCATGCCAGAGAATTGGCGCAAAATGTACTAAAAAAGTTCAAGAGAGTGAGGAGAACAATCTTACAGCAGGCAGAGGGGGAAATCTGCGGTGCAGATTTCCAGGCTTCCTACAATCTTTTGGCTCACTTTGTCCATGGAAATGAATTTCTTGATCTTTTAATTACCACATCCAGTTTTTAAAAAGTCATTTTTGGACAATCGATGGGGCACTGACTAAAAAAGCTGGAACTAAGGTCTTCCTTGATCTCCCTTGAAGCACCTGTCTTCTCTCCTATTGCCACAACCACTTACAATGGCATCTTCCACTGTTGTAAGGAAACCACAAACTTTGCACTTCCTTCTCTGCCTGCAATTTGATAAAGGCATGGGACACCCTATTTCAGGGATAGAAAACTGGATTTTTGTATGTCTTGGAAAAGCATAAATCTCTCATTCTTTTTTTCCTATTTAGTCAGTGTGTGCATTTCTTCATTAATCTTTAGCATGAGCAGATTTAGCATCTCATACCATTCCAATAACTGTCCTAGATTATGAACATAGGCAGACTCTCACCAGCTCTGGTGTGGACAGAATACCTGCTTGACAGCTATGTTCCTCAAATGACCTCCCAAGTCAGTAAAATTAATTCAGAATGACTCATCTTTGAATGTAAAGCTTTTTAAAGAGATGGCTTATTTGCTTTAAAGTAGTTGAGTGCAACTGTCAATCTCTTAAAAGGACAATCTCATCACACATGTAAAAAAATATAAATAACCCTGAGAAAAAGGAGTTATTATTTTTGAAATTACTTTTCAATTGATGCTATGTATTATTGCTAAGCATTATTTTTACATTTCAGTATTAGCAACATTACTTGTGTTTCTTGTTCTTTATTATGACATTTTCCATTTTTAATGTTTTGTTGATGATTTTTAAAAAATCAAAACTTTATTTTGAAAGCTTTTTTAATTATTTTCCGCCCTGTCTTTGATACATTATTGACCTATTTTTAAAATGCTGAAGTTTTGTTTTATAGTTTTATATTATTTTATAGTTAAATCATATCCCTGTTTCTGAAATTTCACAAAAAATGGCTTCAAAAATTACCTGATAAACAGGATCCTCTACATCCTCTTCCAAAATTGTCTATCATAGAGAAAGTCAAAGATAAAGACAAAAAAAGGAGAGAATATGAATAGCAGATGCCTAAGAGCCATATTCATAACTTAAAACACAAGGGAACTGCATATAATATAGATGTAAAATGGATATTCACATTTGTGTCTTCTCAACCTACAATGTATATAATTATGTACGAAATAACACCAGAAGAAACTGTGGAGTCCTTGGTGCTCTCTGAGCTTGGTTGTTTGATTGCAGATGTTTCAATACTCGACTAGATAACATAATGAGCACTCAAACAACCAAGCTCAGAGAGCACCAAGGACTCCACAGTTCAACTCTGAGCTACATGTATTCTCTTCTCTTGGTACCAGAAAAAGCATCACAAAATTACCCCAAAGATCTCCAAGTCTTAGATATAACATAAGTCAACAAGTTCACATGATTAAATTTCTCACTAGAGCAAAGATTGCTTTAATCACCGTCAAACTTTATTGTAGTAACACCAGCAGTATCATCCTCAGACATAGAAATGAATGTTGTATAAACTGGTTTTCAGTTTTTTGCACTATAGGCTCTGTATAGTGAAATGCCACCAAATCTAACACATATTCATTTTTTGTACGTGTCTACCAAAAATTATTAAAATACCTGATATACAGCTTGTTCACATTGTTTATCTTTTTGTGCCTTCTTCTCCAATTCTTCTCTTTGTTTCAACTCATAAATAAGTTGGAAGAGGTCTCGCAAATCCAAAATTACAGGTTCTGCCTACAGGTAATACAGAAATAATCAATATTGTATATATGTAAATGTATGTATATAAAATATGAATAAAAGGCCTAGCTAATAAAATATGGTATTTCTGACAAGACAGGTCTAAATGACAATAATCAAACCATTTAGTTTTTTACAACTACACTGAAATCAATGGAACTTATATTGTTTTGCAAACAGTTACCCATTACATGTGGTCCTCATTTAATGACTTGTTCAGTGACTGTTTGAACTTGCGATGGCACTGAATGGGTGGTACTTATGACCAGTCCTCTGTTGCAGCACCCTGTGGTCATGTGTTTGTGATTTCCAACCATCACAGCATCCCATGGTCACGATCTGCTGGCTTCCCATTGCAAAGCAAAGTCAATGGGGAAGCTGGCAGGAAATCAGAGGTTGTGATCATGTAAAAGGTCCTTGATCCTAATGACCAGCATGGTCCTCGCTTAACTACAGTAACTGGGGACTGCCAGAACTGCTGTCACTAAGCGGCATGGTCATGTGACATTGCACTTTATGACTGCATCACTTACTGACAAAAATTCCAGTCCCAATTACCATAATTAAGCAAGGACTATCTGTAAACAAATTAAGCTGGAATGTATAATGGTGCTAAAATCTGAAATTATCTCATTCACTAATGGAATTTGTTTAGTGCATAACATTTAGTTATATTACAAATTGAACATCATTTTGATCAGAGGTTTTTTTTGTTTTTTGTTTTGCTAGCTTGGCATGTTCTGTCCATGTACTCAACAAATTTCTGTAAAAATGAGCTGCTTTGTATGCATATTTACAGAACTAGTTTCGTGTTACTTCCTTATTCTCAGCTAAATTTTCACTGCTGGCACTGAGGCAATGTGATTTACAAAGCAAACCAATTTCGTTGTGAAGAAAAATTCTGTGAAAAATTCCTTTCTGTTACTCCATGAATTAAATAATCAACCCAGCTAAGTCATTTTTATAGCTGAATATATTTTTATTATTGATTTGTATGCTACCTACTCATCAGACTCTAGGTAGCTTACAGAATTAAAATGTTAAAACACCATACAGCAAAATATTAATATTAAATTAAAAATTTATGTTGCTGTCCCCCAATTAAAAGTCTTCTTCTCTGAATGAAATAGACCTGAAAGAGTCTATTTTCACCCATTTGAGAAATTAAAGGGTGGGGCCTAATCTGACTTCAGAGGGCAAGCTGTTCCACAATGAGGGGGATGCTGCTAGGAAAGTAATCCTCTGGGTCCGAACTTGATATTTGGAGGAGTAAGTACCACAGTATCCTCTCCTGGCTAGATTGCTTGAGGCTGGCAGATTGTACCTGGAGAAGATGCGCCTGGAGGTAACAAGGCCAAGCTGTAAAAGATCTTACTACCAGTACCGGGAATTGTACCTGGAAGCTGACTACCAACCACTTCAGCTCCTGCAAAATAGGTATTATTCTGTTGAACTGATGCAAACAGTTGTGTGCCAGCTGAAGCTTCTGAGTTACACACAATTACAGTAGTCTAACTGGGAGAAGGCAAGGGTGTGAATCTTTCACTTTTCATTCCAGAGAAGAATGCAACTGCTTGACCAGATGGAGTTGGCTGAAGGCTCTCTTGGCTATAGCCTCTATGTGTTCTTTAGGAGGAGCTTTGAGTTCAGAAAAGCTCCCAAATTATATTCCAACACTTTCAGAGAAGTGGAACTCCAACTAGAATAATAGATGGAATATCCATAGAGCCAGATTTTTGTACTAACTTGTCTTGTTGAGATTCTGTCTGTATTTGTTCCAACCCTTCTGAATCTTTATAACCATTAGGCACTGGGTAAGAACTTCTACTGCCATCTCTTACTTGGCCTGGGGTACAGATGTAAAGTTGGATGTCATCAGCATACTGATAATAACTAACTCTAAACTGATGGATGATCTCCCCTGGCAGCTTATGTTGATGTCAAACAACTCTGGGAAGGGAGGTTAGCCCTGGAGCACCCCAGACTGAAGTATTCCAGGGCTTGGCCTTTCTTCCTTCAATAACACTGATAGAAGCTGCCAGCTTAAGAAAGAGCAGAACTGATAAAGAATAGTGTCTCTGATCCACAATCCTTGCATATGGCCCAAAGGATATCATGATCAGTGGCATCAAATACTACAGGGACATGGAGGGGTACACCATCCAGTTCCCAGCAAAGGTCATCCAAAGGCCTGAATTCCAATTGGAAGAGATTCAGATTCTATTTTAGTCAGGACCCTCTGTAGTTGGAGCCAAACCACCTTCTCATCAGCCTTGCCTAAAAATAGTAGGTTGGAGACTAACTAATAATTTTCTGTTTTTTGTATGCGAGTCAATCCTTACTAAGACTTCATGTAAAACTTCTATGTGGCTGCAATCCAGATTTGAATGCCTCTCTTTTTCTAGATATATTTCAGTGCAAGGATTAAATTTTGAAGTTCTTCTCTATTATGGATAGTGCTGTGCAATGAGTGAAATGCAACTGAAACAAAAATAAAATTGTCAGAGGGTAATGCAATAATTCTCAGATTAAGATTTTCCCCCCCTAAATGTTTGGAATGAAATCTCAAACATAAACCAATTCAAAAATGAATCACCCAGCTTCACCCATCTCAAGCTAGCTTAAACGTATTATTAATGTTTTAGTGGTGATTCTATTTAATAGTTTGTGCTATTTAAGCATTATTTTAACTTATTATATATCCCAAATGAAATTTTCAGTTCAAAAGTATTACAGTATAAGGGATAGCAATAACACTGGTTGATTACATATTATCTGAGATTGAAACTGATGTGTCTGAATTCACATCAGTAAATACTGTACCTTAACTTGGCTTTGTAAACTTACAAATGCAGCCTTAGGCATCTCTGTGAGATGGGTGGGAGGGAGTC